TAGAGGGTCAGATATTCATTCTCAACCTTCCTTCTGTATTTGCTTCACTCTGGTCCTCTCTCATTTTGGCATCGGAGTGTCTTGCAGGTACATCCCGCCCTCTTTCTTACCACCGGTGAACAAGCAGCAAACCCAAGACGCGTGGCGGTCCAGTGATTCCCTTCTGATTAGGTCAAATCAATGTTGAACTGAGGTAATGAAAATATCAGAAATGGGGTTTCGATTGAATTTCTAGAATGAAAATATTTTTCTACCCAAAACAATAAGGAGAAAACTTATAACAAAAATAATGAACACAATTATTTTTATCTTTGTTCACTTTTAACTAAGTTACCTCTAATCCATCCGTCAAGGTGATTTCGCCTTATCACAAGGACTTAATCCACTATAACCAAACTTGATTACAACCACAAAGACTAACCCTCACTCAAAAGTTGAGAAACAAAGTATGTTACAGTATGCTTCTAAAAAAGCAGATTACACAAATGAATTACAAATATTTTCACACAAAAATATTTTCTATGAAAGTGTATGAATAAAAGTTTCCTGTGTGTTTATTTTTCTTTCTCCCAAAATATTCACTGTATGCAATGTTCGTGTTGTAGTTGTTATTGTGTAGTTTGGCACATACATACTTTCCATTTTTTCAAGACTCCTTTATATAAGCAATGAAAAGATCCGTTAGAGAGCAGAAATGAAATTCACAAATGCAGATGTATCCTTGCATAATGTTCTATAAAAATGGGACACACAATGGTACAATAGTACAATTTTTTCTTACAAAATCAGTGTAGTGGAAAAAAATATTGATCTTGTACTTTGTACTATTTTCTCACGTAATTTTTTTGGATCTTATCTTCAATTATTCAGAGGCTTCAAATGGAAAGTTCATGAAGCATGCGTAGAAGAAGAATCAGAGTCTGCATGAGAGAATCTTCAGAATATTGTCTTCAGAGTCTTTAGAACTTGGTCTTCGGAGTCTTACCTTGGTCATCAGAGTCTTCAAAAACTTGGTCGTCTGAGACTTTTCTTATCAGTGTCATAATCCAAAGCTTTGGATGAGTGATGTTCTAAATCGTTGATCAGAGTAATCTAGAGCTTGATTATATTGTAGAACACATATCTCAGAGTCAGAGTGTACAAGGTTTAAAGTCTAATGACGTCACACGTCACTTCTTCAGAGTCAGATTCTTGGTTAAAAACAACGTCCCCTTTTTCAACATGGTCGCGAAGAAAGTGATGACGAATCTTGATATGTTTAGTGCGAGAATGTAGTACAAGATTCTTGGTTAGATTGATTGCACTAGTGTTGTCGCACATGATAGGAATATGTGAAAGCTTGAGGTTAAAATATAGCAATTGTTGCTTAAGCCACAAGATTTGGGCGCAACAACTACCAGCGGCCACATATTCCGCTTCGGCAATTGACAAAGCTACGGATACTTACTTTTTTCTATGCCAACTAATCAAAGATTCTGAAAACATGTGACAAGTGCCACTAGTGCTTTTTCCATCCAATTTGCAACCAGCAAAGTCAGAATCATAATAGCCAACCAAACTACAATCACTTCCCTTGGAATACCATAATCCAAACTTAGACGTACCAATAAGTTATCCAAGAATACGCTTAACTGCTTTAAAATTTGAATCCTTGGGAGCCGATTGATATCGGCCCTAGACGTTGTAAGATAAAGAAGTGATCTAATCATACCTCTATACTTTTTCACATCAACATCCTTACCCTTTTCATCTCTATCCAAGTTTTCGTTTGGTATCACCGATTTGAAATGAAACATGAAAGATGTATTTATAGTTTTGGAAGTTTTGTGGCAAAGAGGAAATTTTCGAAGTAAAAAAAATAACCAAGACTGACCAACTTAAGCAGCATGTGTCGGCCTGAACTCTTGATGTGTCGGCACATACTGTCAAAAATAGAAGCTTATGTCGACCTGATATGACCTATGTGAAGACCTAAATGAAACAGAACCTACAGCCTTATTTAGGGTAGTAGATGTGTCGGCCTAAAACACGTATGTGCTGGCACATAATGGTGAAACTTCCAGAATGTGCCAACCTGAAGAAGGTATGTGTCGATTGAAACAAAACAGAAGCTACAGACTTTAATATTGAGTTATATGTGTCGGCCTGAAATTTGTATGTGCCAACACATGTAATGCATTTTTGTGCAGAAACAAAACAGAAGCTACAGACTTTAATATTGAGTTACATGTGTCATCCTGAAATGTGTATGCGTCGACACATGTAATTTATTTTTGTGCAGAACTCTATCCAAATTGGAAGACACGTTGAACCAATTCATGCAATTATCTATTACAAATCAGAAGAATACGGATGCCTCGATCAAGAACTTGGAAACACAAGTTAGACAAATTAAAAAGCATCTGGCATATCAACAAGGAGGTACCTTCACAATCACCCCACATAAAAATCCGAAGGAACATTACAACACAATCACAACAAGGAGTGGCAGAATGATTGAAACAGGAGTTGGTGAAAATGCGGAGAAAGACAGAGTTGTGGTTGAAAGAAGAGAAAAACAAGAGGAAGAAAATGAGAAGGAAGTAGAAGAATAAATTGAGGAGGAGGTAGTTGAAAATGAAAAAGATTTGAGTGACAAGTGGAAAAAGCAGAAAACAAGAGAAGAAAAAGAAAATTAGCCTGCACAACACCTACCGTATCCTTATGTTCCCACCAAGAAGAACCAAGAAAGGCAATATACAATGTTCCTAGATATTTTCATAAGGTTACAAGTTAACATTCCATTGGCTGAAGCACTTGAGCAGATCCCAACATACACAAAGTTCATGAAATAAATTCTGACAAAGAAACGGAGAATCATGGATGAAGAAGTAATTCAAGTGGATGTTGGTTGTGGTGTTGTTATTCTGAAAACTCTTCCACAAAAAGAAACTGGTCCTGGAAGAGTAACGTTGCCTATTACTATAGGAAACCTAAAAGTTGGAAATGCATTTATTGATCTCGGTTCCAACATAAATTACATTCCTTTATAAGTGGTTAGAAGGGTAAGTGATATGGACATGAAACATACGAAGAAGACACTACAACTAGCAAATAAATCCAACACCCGACCATCAGGAATAGTAGAAGACGTATTGGTTAAAATCGATAGATTTCTATTTCCTATAGGTTTTGTGGTGATGGATATGGAGGAAAATGATGACACTCCTCTAATTCTGGGCCAACCTTTCATATAGACGACAAGAATAATTATAGATGTAGATGATGGGGTAATGAAGGTTAGAGTGCAAGACAAAGAGGTCAATTTCAGTTTGTTTGAAGACACCGAGCATCCAATCACCAAAGGAATATGCTTCAAAATAGATGCTAGTGCAAAAGAACAAAAGGACGAGGCAAAACCACGTGATAGTGGAATAGATGCTTCGATCATTTCAGAGAAACCACCTTGAATCCACTTGAAACAGGCATCGAGCTAACAACGTTAAACAAGCGCTGGTTGGGAGGCAACCCAACATTGTAAGTCATTTTAATTTTATTTTAGCTTTCAGTTCTTTAAGTTTCAATTTCAATTTTAGTACTTTCTTTTGAAATGTCAGTTTATTAGTTTTATGTTATAAACTGTTTGAAACTTTTTGACGGTAGTTCATACCGTAAACTCACTTGGTACTCCTTTAAACGGTTGGTATAAGTTGTTTTGAAAATTTGTTGTTGATAATTATGCTTGTTGTCGCAACTACGAAAAACAACCGGCGGAAAAAAAACAGAAGAGTCGTCACTTTCGTTATTTATCCCAAAGAGAGGGAAAGGAAACGATCGCAAAAACCTAAAGAAAAAAAGGAAAAGACAAGGTCATCGCAACCATGTCTGGGTTCGGGAGTCGGTTACGCAAGGGGAAGGTATTAACACCCCTCACGTCCGTCGTACTCGACGGGATCCACGCATTGTTGTCTATCTAAAAGGGTGTGTTGATACTATCTAGCTAAAGGCTTAAGGACAAAAGGAAAAGAAAAGAGAAACTGACTTGGTAGAGCATCGCCGCTCTGTGCCTACGTACTCCCTCGTGCAATAGGAAAGTCAGAGTCAACGTAGTTTGCCTAACTACAGCTAAGAAGGGGGAAAGATTGCTCGATGAGACATCGCGTCTCGTGCCTACGTACTTTCGTCTGGTACGAAAAATTAAAACAAACGTAGTTCGGGCCAACAATCTACATATTACCAATGACACAAATCTAAAAAAATTTCCAACAAAGCACAACATTGTAAGATACTACAAACATGTTACAATAACTATAAATTAAGTTGCATTGCTTTCATGTTAGTACAAGCATAATAGCCTTGTTTTGTTAAAATATATATGCACTGTTTTCGTGTTACAATAACTATAAATTAAGCTTTACTACTTTCAATGTGAGTCGAAGTAACGAAAAATATATATATGCACACGATTTACTCAAGCAGGTATAAAATTATTTTCATAAAATTTAGCATAAAGTCTATTTGTTGGTAGTTTTCATAAAATTTAGCATAATCTATTTTCATAAATTATTATAGATACTTTTCAATTTGAATTTGATATTTTCATAAAGTCTATTTGTAGGTATAAAATTCAGCGAAGACACGGGTACAGAAAAAGGCATAACATAAAACAATTTTCATGTGCTATTACATTCAAAGAAGCAATTCAAGTAACTCAAACAAGAGTAGATTGTGCAAATCTCTGGTTAAGTATTTTGGTTTTGGCTTATTCTGTATTTTTGGTATATTGTTTCGGTGTAGCTTTTTTCATATATTAACATGCGCTACATCATTAATTGAGATGTTTAATGAGTGGAAAATAAAATACTTATACAATTTAATTTAGTCGTTGAAAGTTGAAAGTTTCAGTTTCTCTTCCATTAAGAAAAGAATCAAAGCATCGTTATCTTCAACCTAATAAGTTTAACAATAAATAACACACTTCACGTATTCATCTTCTTCCTGATTCTCCATCAAACTCAACAATGGCTCCTATCGATCCTCACTCTTACACTGACTCAACTCACCCACCAACCACTCACATTTCCCTATCACTCTACCTAGATTTCGCATCTTCAACCATTCACGCTTCAGCACTTTTCACTCTCCAAAACCCTCACTCTGGTCCCTTCTTCCTCGACACTCGTTCTCTCTCCATCAACTCCGTCACCGACTCTCAATCCAATCCAATCCCGTTTTCTCTCTCTCCAACCGTTGATCCAATCAAAGGTTCTAAACTCACCCTCACTCTTACTAACCACACCTCCTTTCTCATCAACTACACCACCTCACCTTCTTCCTCTGCTCTTCAATGGCTACTCCCACCTCAAACATTCAACAAGAAGCATCCGTTTGTATACACTCAGTGCCAAGCTATTCATGCTCGCTCTGTTTTTCCTTGCCAAGATACACCGGCGATTAGGGTTTGTTATTCTGCCAAGATGAATGTTCCCGTCGAATTGACCGCCGTGATGGCTGCCAAACACGTGGCGCGGCGTTCCTTGTTAGATACAGATGATTGTTTTGGGAATTCATCGAAAGGGAGAGTGGTGGAACAGTTTGAGATGGAACTTCCTGTTCCGCCTTACCTGTTTGCATTTGCTGTTGGTGAGCTTGATAACAGGGAGGTTGGGCCTAGGACTAGGGTTTATGCTGAATCGGTTCCGCAATTGTTGGATTCGGCTGCTAGAGAGTTTGAGGGGACTGAGGATATGATTAGGGAGGGGGAGAGATTGTTTGGAGGGTATGAATGGGAGAGATTTGATTTGTTGGTTTTGCCGCCCAGTTTTCCTTATGGAGGTATGGAGAATCCAAGGATGGTGTTTTTGACACCTACTGTTATTAAAGGAGATGCAACTGGTGCACAGGTTGTGGCTCATGAACTTGCTCATAGCTGGACTGGGAATTTGATCACGAACAAAACCAATGAACATTTCTGGCTCAATGAGGTATCACTATGAAAATTTACACTTTTCATGACATATTAGGATCTGTTTGTATTGATTTATTCTAGTTTGTCTACCGGCATAAACATCTGTGAGACAATGATGGATAGTTTTGGAGACAGAATGACTTGTCCATTATTTCTATAAACTCTTAATGGAAGTTTATGGAAACAAAACAACTTATAGCTTATATGAAAACATTTTGACTTTATTCTATCTTTTGTTATCACATTAGCTTATACATAAGCACTTATATGACGATTAAGTTGCTATCGGAACTAAGTCCTTAGTGTTTTATTACTTGTGTATCTCCATAGGAGAAAAGTATATTATGTTTTGTCTATTCTTCAAGTTATAGCAACTAGTCTAAAAGTTTACTTGAGGTGATGTGATATTCCAGTTTTACATTTTGCATATTTGTTGACATTGTTGCTTCATCATCCTTGAAATTGTTGCTTTATAAGTATATTCTTCTTCATATGAAATGTAGTATTTGTTGGCTTTTGCATGATTCCTTTGATTGGTTTTCTTTTGGCAATGCAAGAAACCTTCATTTGCATGATTCCTTCAATTGGTTTTCTTTTTGCAATGCAAGAAACCTTTGATTGGCTGAACAATTCTTCAAATGTTTTTGGCTTCGTTACTGATTTTGACTGTGGTTTTTCCCATGTGATCATTAAGTCATATATTACTGATTGTGGTTTTAGGGCTTCACTACGTATGCAGAGCGGAGGATTGTCGAGGCTGTTCAAGGAGAGAAAAGAGCCACATTGAATATTGGAATTGGTTGGAGGGGTTTAAATGAGAATGTAGAGAGGTTCAAGGACAATTTGGAGTTGACTAAGCTAAAGAATAATCAAGAAGGAATTGATCCAGATGATGCATATTCTCAGGTTCCATACGAGAAAGGTTTCCAGTTCTTGTTGCGCATTGAACGTGAGGTATTTGAAGTTGTTTACTTGTTTCTATGTGTTTAAAGCTCATTTATATCACATTCCTGGTTATTTTCTGTGTCTTAAGGTTATCTGTCATTTGCTAAAAGCTGCAATTGTTAAATTATGCTCATATTTCGCATCCGTGTTTTATTTGCTGTTATTATTTTGGGTTGAAGAACACATGCATATTTTTATTTTAATTTATTTTGGAGTTAAGCTTGTACTTTATTAATGAGTGGATTTTCTTGCGGAATTTTACAGGTCGGGAGACCTACATTTGATGAGTTTCTGAAGAAATATATTGCCACCTTCAAGTTCAAATCGATTGATACTGAAACATTCCTTGACTTTCTTAAAGCAAACATCCCTGGCATAGAGAATCAGATTGACCTTATACTGTGGACAGAAGGTACTGGCATCCCATCTGATGCTTATGAGCCCGACTCAAGTGTATATAAAACGATCGTTGCGCTTGCAAATGAGTCGGTAAATGGGAGGATGCCAACGGAGGATGAAATAGCTGAGTGGCAAGGTCAGGAGTGGGAGCTCTACTTGGATAACTTGCCTAAATCCATTGAAGTTTCTCAGGTATACTGTTATACACTCATGATAAGTTATACTATGCACACACCCATTGAAGTGGTTTGTGACCGGAAAACATATATGAAGTTTTGTAGACAACCTGCCTTCAGTTCTATAAATCAGCTAGTTTCACATATTTGATTGGGGTCACTGGCCGTTTCTCTAAACTCTTGCATATTATGATCCTAGTTATTGTTTTGGTGCCCTTTGCATTGTTTTGTGCAGATCTTAGCCTTGGATTCGCGCTACAAGCTATCTGAATCAAAAGATTATGAGGTAAAAGTGTCATTTCTCCAAAGGGCTATTTCATGTGGATGCAAGGCTTACTATAGTGAAGTGGAGAAAACCTTAAAAGAAGTTGGAAGGATGAAGTATCTTCGACCACTTTACACTGCACTTGTGAAAGACAGTGGCAATGAAGAAGACAAAGTGTTTGCCAAAAGACTTTTTTCGGAGGCTCGTGAGTGTTACCATCCTATTGCTCAAGGTGTTGTTGAGTCCATTTTTGCTAAGTACACGTAGAAGGAATGTTTCTCAGAATATTTAATGTATTTGAACACCTATAAGTGAATCTGTGTCTTGAGCTGTTTCAGTATGCTTTTTACCTCTATAAGTGAATCTGTGTCTTGAGCTGTTTCAGTATGCTTTTTACCTCTATAAGTGAATCTGTGTCTTGAGCTGTTTCAGTATGCTTTTTACCTCTATTCTGACCGTTCATATTTTTTAATAAATCATCAATTTAGTCTCCAAATTATATAAAAATGACAATTACTCTTCAGTTATTAGGGAGAAAAAAGAATTGAAGTAATGATTAAAATTTCTAACACTTTGTTTGGATCGGGTAATAAAGCAGAAGTTAACAATGGGACGAGGGCGGCCGCCAAAAAAATCGGTGCCTCCACCACCATTATCTCCGGTGGTATCTACTCCGGTAACTCAATCGAACTCGCGAAGCCACAATGTCAGCAAGAATCTCAGCACAGCAGAAATTGGGGGAATCAAAGACCTTGGAGAAACCTCAGATGCTCGAGAAGACGGAAGTATTGAGGAAAAGCGCAAAGAAGTAGACCTGGAAAAACCTAATCAAACTGCAACTCCTGAAGAAGGGCGAAAGCTATGGGCTGATGTGTTAAAGGATAATAGGAATCCGGCGAAAGGTCGTGCTATGAAGTTCATACCCCCTCAAGTCGTGGATGGGAAAATAGAGGTTCTAATTGAAGAAGATGATGTCAGTTCTGAAGTCAAGTTCTGGGAATCTTCTCTGATTCTTTATGCAATGGGAGCGGATTTGAGTATGAATGTTGTCAAGAATTTTATGACTAGATCTTGGAACTTTGTTCAACTGCCGGACATGTATTTCAATGATGAAGGGTATTTCATTCTCCGGTTCAAATCATTCACAGATCGAGACGAAGTTTTGCTGAGAGGACCGTACATGTTAAGAAACATTCCTTTGTTGATTCGTGAATGGAGACCAGATTTCAAGATCAAGGATGAGCTATTGCGAACCCTACCTATTTGGGTAAAACTTCCCCAACTCCCTATCGTTTTGTGGGGTGATACAAGCCTGAATAAGATTGGGAGTGCCCTGGGTAAGCCTATTATGACAGATGAATGTACTGCTAATAGACTGCGAGTATCCTATGCGCGCATTCTTGTTGAAATGGATATTACAAAGGAGCTTCCTCAATCAATCACCATTGCTGATCATGAAGGAGAAAAGATGCAACAATCAATTGAGTATGAGTGGAGACCTTTATTCTGCAACAAATGTCAAAAGGTAGGTCATTGCTGTGATAAGCCTAAGATGAGGAAACAATGGATACCTAGGAATGTGAAGCAACCTGAAGCTAATGTGATGTCAAACAAGGATGAGGATGATAATTAAGGGCCTATTGAAATAGGAAATGTCAATATGGATATAATTCAGATCAGGAAGGGTAATGCTAGTACTACTGCTGATGAGAGTCTTTCTATCAGAAACAAGGATGTGGAAACAGTTATGGAAAAATGGACTGAGGTTATTAAAAGTGGTAGAGATAGAGGAAAAAAGACAGGTAATGCTGGTGCTGCAGGTGTGCTTTCGTATGATAATGGGTTTGATGCTCTAGAGATTTTGAAAGATCTCATATAGGCTCAAAACACAGGCCAATGATTGTCTCTTGGAATCTTAGGGGGTTGAATAAAATGGGGAAGCTAAAGGAGACTAGCTCCCGTCTCCTAAACCTTCATCCCAAAATTGCAATACTACTAGAAACTAGAGTTAAATGTGATAAAGCAAAGAAAGTTAGAGACTGTTTTAACCTCAGAGGTAAATATATTGATAACTACCAAGCTCATTACAATGGCAGGATATGGATTTTTTGGGATGATAGTTACAAGGACATCAAAGTGGTGAGCTGCACATCTCAGATGATACACTGTGGAATATATGATATCAATGGTAACTTCCAAAACTGGTTGACAGCCATTTATGTTATGAATCAGCTGGACCAAAGAAGGAAATTATGGGAGGCTCTGGTGTACATACATAACAACCAACAAGGGCCTTGGTTCCTTATGGGTGATTTTAACAACGGGACAAAGTCCATGGATAGGATTGGGGGAAACTTGGTGACTGAGAGAGAATATGTTGATCTAAGAAACTTGATGGATCATGCTGGGCTTTTTGAGAAGGACAGCGCAAGTGATTATTTTACCTGGACAAATAAACATTCTGTAGGTACTATATACTCAAAAATTGATCATGTGCTTGGTAACATTGAATGGCTGCAGGAAAACACTGATGTGAATCTAGAGATTCTCCCACCTAGTATTTCTGATCACTGCTTACTTTGTTTGTCTGACCAGAAAAGAAACAGGATTGTACACACCAACTTCAAGTTTACTAATAGTGTGACAAAGGTGGCTGGGTATCAGGACATTGTAAAGCAGAGTTGGCATAAAGTGTGTGTGGGAAGACCTATGGCTCGGTTGTGGTACAAGCTTCTGAGGTTGCAGGCTCCTCTTATCAAATTGAGCAAGCAGTTCTCGCATCTCCATATGTCCATTATAAAAGCCAGGACTGAGCTTCTCAAAGCGCAGGAAGAGTTATTGGTGGACAGAATGAATGTAGGGAGCATTGAAAAGGTGAGAAAGTTTACTGATGAAGTGATCTACCTGCAGGACCTAAATGTTAAAATGCTTAGACAGAGATCAAAACTGGATTGGCTTAGAGAAGGTGACACAAATTCAGCTTTCTTCTATGCCTACCTCAACTCTAGAAATACAGTTACTCACCTCAGTCAACTTCAAAAGGAGGATGGCACTTATATTCAGAATATTCCTGACATTGAAAGAGAGGTTTGTGACTTTTATGGTAATTTGTATGGGACTAAAGAACATAGGGTGAGTATGATTGATATCAATGTTATGAGGGAGGGACCCCAGTTAACTATGATGCAGAGAGATGAACTTATTCCCCTGTTACTGTTGTTGAAATCTGTACTGCTATTAAAGGGATTGGGGACCTAAAGAGCCCTGGTATTGATGGGTATGGTGGAAATTTTTTTAAGGCTAGTTGGGAGATCATAGAGCAAGATGTTGTTGAAGCTGTCCAGGAATTCTTCGAGAAAAATGTGTTGTACAAAAGATTTAATGAAACAATTGTTACTTTGATCCCTAAACATCTTGATGCAAAAATGATAAAAGAGTATAGGCCTATTGCAGGATGCACAACGGTTTATAAAATCATATCCAAGATCCTATCTGCGAGACTTGGGAGAGTTTTGGGGTCTATAATCAGTAAAGCTCAGGCAGCATTTGTACCAGGTCAGAATATTCACTCTCACATTTTATTGGCTAGGGAATTGTTAAAAGGTTATAATAGGAAAAATGGTACGCCAAGATGCACGGTCCAGCTTGACATTCAAAAAGCTTATGACATGGTTGATTGGGGTGCTCTTGGCAATATCCTCAATGAGATAGGGCTGCCAAAGAGGTTTGTTGATTGGATTATGACTGCTGTTACCACAGTCTCTTATAGATTCAATATAAATGGCAACTACACTGACAAGGTTGAAGCAAAAAGGGGTATTAGACAAGGGGATCCTTTGTCCCCCCCTTCTGTTTGTGATTATTATGGAGTACCTTAGCAGGATGTTGGTCAGAATGCAAAAAAATCTGGATTTCAATCACCATTCCAGATGTGAAAAGTTGCAGCTCACCCATCTTACATTTGTTGATGATCTCCTGCTGTTCTCTAGAGGGGATAAAGGCTCCATGGAAATTCTGCAGCGCACCATCATTAGTTTCTCTTGGATTCAACAGGTATGAAAATTAACCCTACCAAGAGTAAAGTGTATTTTGGTAGTGTCTCAGATCCTGTTAAGCACTCAATTCTGAATTTTACTGCTTACAATGAGGGGACTCTCCCATTTAGATATCTTGGGAGTCCCAGTGAGTAGTAAAAAGCTGTTTGTGGTTCATTATATGTCGTTGGTGGATAAACTGTTGAGTAGGATAACTCATTGGAGCTCTCGACTTCTTAGTTATGCCGGTAGATTACAGTTGATTAAAACTGTACTGTATGCTATTACTTCGTATTGGATGCAGTGTATTTGTTTCCCTAAAACTGTGATTAGCAAAATCAATGCCATTTGCAGATCTTTTCTCTGGACAGGAGGAAGCACTATTAGTAGGAAGAGTCTGATTTCCTGGGATAAGGTTTGTAAACCTGCTGTAAAAGGAGGGTTGAATGTGCTTGATTTAGTGGCATGGAATAGCATGTTTATGATGAAGTTACTCTGGAATATATGCATGAAAACTGATGATATATGGGTTCGGTGGATACACGCCTATTACCTGAAGAATGGGGATGTTATGAATAGAATGGTTAAGAATTCAGATTCAAATATTTTTAAAACTATTCTTCTGCAGAGGGAAAATATAGGAAATATGCAGGATGCTTGGAATGAGATGGTGCAAGCAGGGAGATTCATTGGTAGGAGAGTGTATGTGAACTTGTTACCTGCCACACCTAATGTTGTCTGGGCCAAGCTAATTCTCCACAATAGAGCTAGACCTCGTGCAATATATACTCTCTGGATGATCTGTCATGGGAAGCTAGCCACAAAAGCCAGATTGAATCGGTTTGGTATGGTGAATAATAACAAATGTGTTTTTTGCTCTGCGGTGGAAACCATTGACGACCTATTTTTTGAGTGTACTATTTTGAGGCAGGCTTGGGTTGAAACGCTTCTATGAATTGGTATCCCTCACACTCCCGAGAATTGGAATGAGGAGAAAAACTGGATTTTGAATTGTTATGGAGGTAAAGGTTGGAAAGCTGTTCTTGTTAGATTAGCTCTGACTGAAACTCTACATGAGTTGTGGAGCTTTAGAAATGACACTTGTTTTAATCAAAAAAATGACAATAGGAATTGTACAGATAGAATCATTAACAACATAGTTTATAGAGGGTGGTCGAGTCCTAAGCTCAGACCACATATAGCTCTTTTGATGGTACCGTAAGTTATTTCTTGGTATGGGCTGGATTTCAATCGCCTTATATTATTTCTGACTTTGGATTAATGAAAATTTTTTATTCAAAAAAAAAGGCTTAATTGCAACTATGGTCCTGCTATTTTGCATTTTTGTGTGTTTTGATCCCTCATTTTAAAAATCACGATTTAGTCCATTTTTTTATGTTGAGTATGATTTTAGTCCTCTCTTCAATTTTAGACTTTTTTTTTTTAATGATTTGGTGTTATCCAAGATGACGTGGGAATGTTAGGTCATTTTAAAACTAATTTGAGATTTTTTTATTGACTAAGATAATTAATTTATTAATATTATTTTAATTAATAAATAATTTAGTTATTAATATTTTATTATTAATTTTTATAATTAATTAATTGATCAAAATTTTAAATGAAACATTTTGAAAACCTAACCTTTTTAGCTCATTTTTTTGTCTATATTTTTAATACACAATTGATTTATTGTGTTTGTGTAAGATATATAAACACTAACAATATTTATAATAAAAACGTGAGACTACTATAACACCATCTACTATTATGCTATGTTATCAAACAATACAGTACTTACGGGAACCATTCCGTCCTCATTTTATAATCTTATAAGTCTTCAGAAATTGTACGTTGTTTTTCGTTTTATCTTTTCTTCTTCTATACACTTAATTGTTAACATAAGCCAAATGAAAGTTAATATCAGATCCTGTAAAATTTTCCTATCACAAATTGAATTTTGTACTAACTAGTTAGACCTTTTTTTTTCCATTTTATTTCTTATTTAATCAATCATGTTATAAAAATAAATGATTTCTTACTAATGTAATTCTTTGCGATAGGTCTCTTGCAAACAATTCATTGATGGACCGTTTTTCTTCTACAATATGGCAAAACAAGACTTTAAATGGAATAGAAAGATTTATATGATAAGCTCTAAAATGATAAGTGCCGCAATTTTGTTTTCTTAGCTAAACATTTACGAGGAGTCTGTGTTCGTGCTCTTTCGTGTGTATAATGATAGGATGTTAAATAAGAACTCTAATAAAATTAGAGAAAAGTATAAAATCTACTCTATAAAAAAGACAAATAAAACTAAGAGAGATGAAAATAAAAATAAAGACTTTCATTGATTTCTTTAATACTAATACAAATAAAACACTACATTTTAAATACTACTCTAAACATATCTTAGTCATCTAAGTGGCACAATCACAAGGACTTAAAAAACTTCTAGAATTTAATGATAATACTAATTAAAATATCTAATCAATTAATATAAATTACTCTCTATCACTACTTACCTCTTTAAAATAGATTATAAATTTATGAGTAGAATATAATTTTTTTAATATTTTTTTTCAAAGGTAAAAACTTGAAAATATAATAATAATAAAAAGTGGGAGAGAGAGTGTATTGTAGCTGGAAGTTTAGAAAATAAAAAGTGAATGACAAGCTAGGCTAATGCTAATAATAAGAAAGTGGAGGACAAATTGGTGGAGAAAATTGATTCACACGTAAAGGTGAAATTCAGTGTTTTAAAAATCGGACTAGACCGGCCGGTCGGATCGGTTAGACCGGGAACCGGCCTAGTAACCGGTCTGGTTTACTAGTTCGATCGTCT